TTTTGCCGTGACCTCTGCTTTGCAGCATACGTGTAGCAAGGCGTTTCCCAGAAGCGTCTTTCGGACTTCCAATAAAAAGCTGAAGTATTCTGTGGCTTGCAGCAGAGACATGGAGTCTTGCCAGCAAAAATCTGCAGCTAAGAGTCACTTAGCTTGAGTCTTTGGTTTCCTAACAGTTCTGTGTTCAGGGAGAGAATCATCAATAAGGGAGGCTGCAGTGTTTTTTTCTTTTTCCTTTGTTTTCTTTTATTCAACAACCATTACTCTTCAGATGGTTGCTGTAATTTCCATTTCAGAAGGGTTTGGTATGAGTACTGAGGTCCTTTTTCTGGCTGATGCAGCAAAACACATAATTGCTATTAAACCTTTGTGCAATGATCTGCTCTACGTAAAGCACCACTGACAGGACCGTATTAAACGTTGCACAGCAAATTAATTCATTTCGCTCAGAAAGTGCCTTAGGTTTCTCATAGGAACGGTGAGTCATTATTGGTCTTTTCTGTCTCTTTTTCTTTTTAATTATTTCTTTTTCTTTGCAGATCTGGGATTATTTTGAGATGTTTTGATAAAATGCAGTAATGAGTACTCTCAAGCTGGTAGTCACTTTGAATTTACATCAATATAGTGCAGTTGCAAAATTGGATGAAATCAACATTGCATGATTCACAAGGGAATATAAGGAATGACAAAAATCATGGTGATATGTCTATGGAGTGTTGTTAGCACAAAGCCATGCTCCAGTGACAAATACTGTCTTCCTCATAGAAGAAGGTGATTTATTTTCTTTCTTTTCTTTCCTCCCCCCCTGAAGTAAACAGTGTAATTCAGACTTCCCAGTTGACCCAGTCAGTGACCATGTTACTCTGGGTCAGTTAGATATTTAATGGGACATTGATTTGTCTTAAGAAAGCATTAATTATTCATTAATTATTAGTTTAAGCTGGTCTTGTAAATAAGAGTGAAAGTCTCAACCTAGCTTGTCTTGAAAAGTTCTTCTGTGTTTATCTTGTTATGCATATGGCTCATCTTTACATATCTCATGTATGTTCATTAATAAAGAAGAAAAAATGTCTTCAGGCAGTGCCCAGCAGCATTGGAAGTTAAAATTATTATTAAGCAACTTGAAACTTTGGAAAAATTTTATTGGTGATCTTTTGCAATTAGTTTCTGTAAAATTGTAAAGACTTACAAATTGTGACAACTCAGTCTTCTGCAGATACTGTAGCTTTCATAGTTCATCTTGAAAAGTGCTGAAGGAGTAAAACTAAGACTAAATCGAATAAATCGTTGCATCTGTTTGATCTGTACGCCTGCTTCCAGGATCCTGTTGTTCACAGTAGACACTGCGTTGGTTTAACTAGAGCCAGTTTAAAAAAAAAAAAAAAACAGTTCATATAACAGTCTGGGTACTTTTGATGGAATGACTCTTGTTTGAAACTAGATCTGTTGTGTTAGTAGGAGTTTGCTGATGCGAGCTAGACTGATACATTGCATTTAATCTTACACAAAAAGATCCATGCACCTTGTTATACTGGTTAGGCTAAACTGATGTAGAATCACACCTTGACTTAATCTGACATGATTTGTACGTAGACAAGTATCGGTTCACATCAGTATACTGAAACTGGTAAGTACTCGACTTGTGTTTATGTTACGCCACCCATACAGTAAGTATGCACTTCATTATTTGAAGGCAATTGTGAGCCCCAGTACTGAACCAAGAATATGTTGCTCTGAAGCTTCATTAAAGGCAACACAGCTCCTGAAGTTTGTTTTTGTCCACTCATGCACTTTCTGATGAATGCTGCTTCCAGAAATGTGGCAGATGTGGAATATATAACCCATCAGGACTGACTTACACTGTTAGGTACTTATGCGACTCCTTCCATCCCAGTGCCTGGGAACCTTGTCATCTGTATTTATTCTCACAGTAGAGTAAGGCTAACGGTGCTGTTACACCTGGCTTACAGTCAGGGACTCTCAAGACGCAGAGAAACTAAGAGATTCAGATGACTTAATTTTAAGCTGATAGGTTACAGGCTTAGCTGAACTTCACTGTCTGACTTTAGTCCTGGAGTTATGGGCACACCATCCAAAGAGCCCAGGAATCTGTTGTGGAGCAGGGATTGGAACCTGGGTTATTCGGATCCTAAATTAATGTTCTGTCACCAATTATACTGGCTGGAATCTATTACTGTCTTAGTCATGATATAGAGTTGCCTTATTGCACCATTGCTGCTGGTGCGTGATGCCTGAGAATATATCTTCTGGCATGCAGTTGATGTGGGGAGGGTCAGTGCAGGCAGAGCCCGAAATATTTACTGTCTCAAGATGTGAAATCCTTGTAAGGAGATGAGCCTAGCTCCTAGCTCAGGGTTTTCAGACGCAAAGCAGCTCACAATTTACGTGTCCAGTAGAGCTGGCTGGGCTTCAGTCAGAAACATTTAAATAAACTGCTTGTAAAGGTATTTCTCTTTCTTTAATTCCCTGTTCTATCCTCACTGGTGGCCATAAGGGGTCACCTCTGCGAAGCATTGTGTGTGTTGCGTATATTCAAAGGAAAAAGTTTACAAGCAATTCCTTGTGGGAGAACCAAGTCAATTACTCAATCTTGACCTACAGTGCCCAATTGAGACCAGTAAGACAAGCATCATAATTAGCTTCACTTAAGAGATCAGTCTGGATATAGCAACTAGTGGTATTTGTATTCATTTAAAAGACTGTAAAGGCAGAACTGGAAAGAAGTTGCATCACTGGACCAGTCTTGAAAACATTTCTTTACTCTCTAGTAAAGAGCAAAAACTTATGTTTCAGATTGATACCAGAATATGTGGAAGCTGGCGAGCAGATTGTTAGGGTGTCCTCCACATGTTTTACAGAGCAGAATGTTGCAGGTACAGATTTCACACTGCACCATATAAATCCTAGGGAGTATTGGCCCAAATCCTTGGTCCAGTTCCTAATTTGGGCAACTTTAAAAGTCCATTCTGTTACCCTTTCTTCAGTTGGCATCAGGCCCATCTCAGGCTGTCTGGATCTGAGAGGGAATTTTTCTCCTAATAATTTAGTTTGCTAGCACTTATCTCTGTTTGTCTCATTTTCTTTCTTTCTTTCCTTCTTTCTCTGTGCATAAACTATATGTTTCCTTGGTTACAAGTTAATTGATAAGTCTTGTTCAAAAGAATAATAACTTCCACTCCAGAAATAGTATTGCATTGCAGACTATTAGATGAGGTTCACTCAAGGCAAGACATTCACTGGGCTTTTATTTAAATGGAGCTGCTAATTGAAACACTGGTTGGCATTGTTGACTGCATCCTGTTCACCAGTATGGGCTGAATATCTGCCCAAGGGAAACAGTTGAAATGAGGCTACCAGAGGAGGAGGTATGAAAAACTTTGAGCTTGAGTAGAAGAATTCAGCCATTTTCTTTGAAGATAGGAGTGGGGAGTGGGAGTGGTAAGAACAAAATTGCAGCTGTTGTATTAGTTTAGCTGGACTTACAGCAGAAATTATTGCCTGATGCTGTTACGCCCCTAATGACCTACTGGGCTTTTTTACTATTAATCTTGTATTTATATAATGCAGAATGATAGCAGCATTTCTTCACTAAGGCATTTATAAAGGACAGTAATATAGGACTTCATGAAGCAATGGGGCTTTTTCCCTAGAAATTCATTGAAGAAGGGGAAGAAACTGGTGCAGTAAATATGAGCAAGGTATCTGTTCCATTGCTACATAAGCATTAACTTGAAAAAAAGCATAATCTTGACTAAGGACATGTCAGGAACTGATCAGGAAAGAAAAATAGCTCCAGAAAACACACATAATGAAGATGATTCCCAGTGACTGAGAGTGATGTAGGTGTATCAGGATTCAGTCCTTCGCAAGCCGTGAAAAACAGGACAGAATGGTATAAAGATAGGGGTGTGGGTGGAGAGATATGTTTTCTCTGAAATGTTCTAATGAGCATCACTAGATTGAGAACAATATTACAAGGAGGACAACTTTTTACTGCTAGAATGAGATGTGGGAGGTAGTTTTGAAGGAACGTAGTTTTGTTTGGGAACATTCTGGGTAATACTTTATGCTTCAAACAGTACAGTTGAGACTCAATTTTGCTCTAACTTACACCCGTGCGTTTCTCTTGAGGCCCCAAGCTGCCAAAAGACACATCTGAAAAGAAGGTTAAGCATTTTTTCACAGAAGCCGAATGTGGAGCAATAAAACTTTTATTATCACAATGAAATACACAATAAAACTGTTCCTATCCAAGCTCTTCTCAGGGCTTGGATATAGCCGATTAGTTACCAGTACCTGGAATTTTGCCTCCCTGACTATATTGCAAATGCTTTGGTCATTTCTGTTGACTCATAGTATCTGTAATTTGCATGCAGAGAACCGTTTCTGCTAGAATTAATGGGAGTAGAAACAAACATTGGCTTCTTTTCTCTTCAGATGAGCTTTCCCTGTGTTAGGTATGTGCTGTAGCCAAATGGAGATGTTTGTAGTTTGTACTTAATATAGTCATTTGCATGCAAAGTCAGGCTGCCTGGTTCATCTGGTTTCCCAAAACATGAATTGGAGTTGCTTGCTTTCCTTTCATTCTTTTTGCTTGGATTGTATTCTTTCTTGGATTAAAATAGTCAAGTTCTTGTTGCCTTGTGTGCTCATTGAATGGTTTGCTGACACTCATGTTCTTGGAAAGAAAAGCTTAGGCATTCTGAAACACTTAGAGGCACTGAAACTGCAGAGGGCATTTTTCCTCATCATTCCATGGAAGCCTCAGTGGAAAGAGGTGGTAGTTGATGTGAATGGCTTAAACTACTGGTTTACGACAAGCCTGTATTTAAAAAAAATGGTGGTGACTTTAGATGAGCATAAAATGTGAACAGATACATTTGTATTATGATGAAAAGGTCTGAGAACACAGATTTATGTACAGGAGAAAATATTCTTTTTATCTGGGTTTAAATCTTTTTTTTGTTTGTTTGTTTACAGTGGCCCATCCTCAGGAGCCTCACCATCCCTCAGAAAAGCCGGTCATCCACTGCCATAAATGTGGGGAGCCATGTAAAGGTGAAGTACTCCGTGTTCAGGCCAGACACTTTCACATCAAGTGCTTCACCTGCAAAGGTAAGACCTTGATATTCATCTGGTAGAAATGAGTCAATTTGCACAATGTACCTCAAACCTCAAAGGACGCACTTCCTGTGATCGGCCAATTCCAGGATACTCTCATTACTCAGTATGTGAAGGATTTGTGGGGTGGGGAGCGTAAAGAATGGAGGGCAAAATGACTGAATCACACATGTACAAGCAGCAAGGTGATCAGCACCACACAAAACAAATTCAATATGCAAACATCTACAATTTAATTGAAAAGAAAGATTATATGAAACATTTGATGGTTGTTTTTGTGGGGAGGGGGTGCAGATAAAGAGCACATTCTGCTCGGAATACTTGTGCATTCATTCTTTTTCTTGTCTACTGTTCACTGGGTGCGAGCTACACAATAGATAATTATACCTGAAAGAGACGAAAAAAAATGTTAGCGCTTTTAAATATTATTTTGAGTTTTATTTGCTTCATACAGTTCTCTGTAGACAGTCAGTTTCATGTATTTCATAAATAGTGAATTAGACCATAATTAGACTCTGATTGCTTTGGTGATTTTTTTTTTTTCCTGTTTATTTGGGAAACAATGGAACAGCACTAAAAATCCAAGATGAAAAGCTTTATGGAGAGTCACAAAACATAGGAAGAGAAAGTATTAGCCCTAGCAGCCACTCAGAAATCCAATGTAAATAGTTGTCTTGGTTTCAAATGTCCTGTTATTAGAATTATTAATGTATTTCCTGTTATTTCCATATATGGGGCAAGGGTGTGTTTAGATTGTGTAGTGCGATGGCGTGAAAAAGAGCATAGCATAAGAATATTTAAGAAAATTCTGTTTTACTGTAGTTTTTGTTCTAAGTACTTTTTCAAGTATTTGAATAAATCTGGATTTTTTTTTTAATCCCCCGATGGATACGGACAACCAGGAGAAACATGCAGGGCGGTCACTGAGGAGCGTGTGCTGAGGCGAGGGGGAGCCTTAGCCACGCGTTTTAGGAGAGGTGCCTTCAGTGAGGAGCAGCACAGAGGATAGTGACAAAAGGGAAAGGAGCAAGAGACAGGGATATCTGTAGCAGCTGTGCTGACGTCGTGACCCTCAGAAAAAGCTGAGCTGGAGCTTTTAAGCTGAGTGGCCAAAAAAGTTTTCTTTACTTGCTTTTCTTGTGGTTGGATTTTGCCTACGTTGAGGAAACAGCGGTATGCACACTCACAGGCACACTGTGTACGTGTGCACGTCTGTACATGTGTACACATATAGCACACGTGCTGATGGCTGCCATTTTGCTGAGCCTTTGGTCTGTGGGGCTCCGCCACTCACTGGGTCCCCGCTCTCTGGGCTCCCCTCACGTGGGCTGGGATTCTGTGGGATTCTATGTGTTGGGCCTCCCTGACTCTCCTGGGTCTCCACATCCATGGAACCATATCCTCTGAGCCACCCACTGATTCCGGCCTCCCTGTGTGAGCCTTGCTCCCTTGCCGGCTCCCTCACACTTGGTCTCCCATGCTTTTGGGGCTCCCTGACTCTCTGGGCCTCCTTCTCCATGGGCTGGGATTTTCTGGGACTCCCACTTTTATGGAAGCCTCCCATTTTTTTGGAGCCTCACTCACTTGGAGGCTCCACTGGTGAGCCTCCCACTCGCTCTGGGCTTCGTTTACTCTCTTGTTCTCCGCCTCTGTGGGCTTTGAGTCTCTGAGCCTCTCAATTTTTTTGGGGGGGCTTCCACCAATTTTGGGCCACCCCTACTCTCCACAAGTCTCTGCTATGCGAGCCTCCCACCTTTTTGTTGACTTCCCATGCTTTCAGGCATCCTGCTCTTTTTGGGCTCTCCCTACCCCTTCACCTTCCCAGTGGGACTCCTACACCCACGTGTCTCCACTCTCTGGACCTGTCCCTCTGAGCTTCACCCTCCGCTCTAATACCTCTGTGCTTCTAAACTTGTGTTTATAGATGAATAAAAGCTGTGAGGAAGCTGCAAGGCAGGCAGTGGGGTCACTGGTAGAGCTTTGTCTCCTGTCTCCCCAGTTCTGCAGAGAGGTTACAAGGCTTTGGGTTGTGGGGCGGCCTTGGGAATGAGCGCCCTGCTCGTGCCTCAGAGCGAGGACCTGAGGAGCTCTCAGCAGCTCCAGCTCATGCCAGTGAGACCTCCATGACCACAAGAAGGACTCACTGTGGTTTTTTACAAAAAAAAAGAGGTTAATGAAGCATTAAATAATTGTAAAACCACTCTTTGTGAAGTCATCACCTTTGAAGATGGGTATTCTGAAGCAGGAGGTGATCCTAACTCCTTCATACAGTTTCTGTTGACTGGATTAATTAACTGCAGCACATAGGATGAAAGGTGAGAATATGGAGAAAAACGTGGGCCTATGTGAAACAAGGGAAGGGTTGGTCCCCTACAACCAGCGTCTGCTGCAGTCAGTCCTAGCACAGCGTGGGATAGATGCAATGAAAGGGTTTCAGGCTTGAGGTGAATGTGGTGGAGCTGGTGACGAACGTGGAGAAAGGTGCTGAAGTAAATTAGAATAACTGAGCAACTAAAACAGAGTAGTGGAATCTATACTATGGAGTTTTTTGCTTCCTTTAAACCCAAGTTATCTTTTCTGAAAGTCCATACTGCAGATCCAGACTTTGAAAAGTGCCTCAAGCCCAGTCCCTGAGTTTGTTAGATTTTTCATGTTCCAAATGAGAGTGGAATAGTATAGTAATGTGATTGCTAGAACTCTGTTGCTTTACTTTCTAAATAGATGGGATGCAACAGAAATTAGAAATACTTGTTTTCCTGTGTTACTAAAATATTTTTTTAAAAGTCCCTTCAGCTATTTGCATGCTGAAAAGTGAATGGCTAGTGTCTAAGAAATTCTGTTCGTGTTATCTTTGGTTTTTAGCTAAATACAGCTAGATAGCTCAAAAACACTTAACTTTCTCCTGGATGTTGATGTCTTTCATCTGTGTCAAACTGGAATGGTATCAGCCCATCATGGAAGGCAGAGAGGAGCACTATCTGCACTATTCCTGAAACGCCTGGAGTAACGCATATGTCTTTCTGTATTATGGTTCCTGTACTTCAAGCAGTACATGATGCTATATAATCCCTAAGCAGTTCAAAACCAGCAACAAGTTGTTTCTTTCACTGTTTCTGCCTGTAGTGAGTAGTGGTCTCAGTTTACAGAAGACACTGGATTAGCGTATTTCCAGGAGCAGATCAGCTGACACCTTTGAGTCATGAAGGAGAATGGTAATTTAGGCCAGGCAGCAATCAGCATGCTCAGGACCTCCAAATAAATCAAGGAGGCAGA